CCTAAACCCCAAACCCCTAAGACCCTAAACCCCTAAACCCTATAGTACCCTTTAAAGGAAGCCTAGGATCCCTATAGATCCCTTTAAAGGAACCCCTAAACCCCAAACCCTAAACCGGCTCCATGGCTCTCAGTGGGAGCATGCCAGGCATTCTCTGCGGCAAAGCGTGTCTGCATCAAGCAGGTGCCGCCATGCTGGTGTCCTCGCGTATACAGCCCGATCATGTAGGGTTTAGAGTTTAGGGTTTAGGGTTTAGGGTTTAGGGGATGCCTATTCAACAAACCTCCTCCCGTAGTAAGAACAACTGAAACCTTTGCAATGGGATGAGGGGTTTCGGGGCTGTAGTTAGTCTTCGGGGTTTTCGGTGTTACATAGCAGCGTTTCACGTCTCTGTTGATTTTCGCTTTCATGCATCAGTAGTGCTTGTACTGACCGTGCTCACTCTGACCAGTGTCTACTTCATAATGATTGGACCTGTCTCTCCATCTATGTTTCAGGCAACGGCAACAGGTCGTGTGCCCAGAACCCTGAACCCTAAACCCTCAACCCCAAACCACAAGCCCCAAAGCCCTAAAGCCGCAGGCCTTGAAACAATAAAACCCCTAAAGCCTTAAAATCCCTTAAAGCTCTAGAGAGCGAGCCATGAATCCTAAACCCTAAACCCTAAACCCTAAAACCCTAAACCCTAAACCCTAAAACTCTAAACCCTAAACCCTAAACCACCCCAAATCCTGGGGCGTTGGGGATCCCAAAGCCACAAAGCGTCTTGGAGAAGTCGGGGGCTTTCAAGGTGCCGGGATCTTGTTCACATGCGCCCTCAAAGGGTTCCTTTTAAGGTTTATGCAAGGGGTGTTTAGGGATTAGGGTTTAGAGCGTTTAGGGGTTTAGGGTTTGGGGTTTGGGTTTAGGGGTTTCGGGTTTAGGGTTTAGGGTTTTAAGCTACCATGAGAAGGAATGCAGGCGTTGTGATATTGCGCAGTAGTTAAAAAATCCTAAGCCGTAAGTGCTTTAGCAAGAGGTCTGAGGCGAGAAGTTGTTGCTGCTTCCATCAGCACCCAGATGCCCAAAGCCACAACTCCCTGAGCTTTTAGATTTAATGTGGGAACCTGATCAAGAAACCCTGGTCCTATAACCCAATTTGTTAGGATTCATATTCAGAACCCCTAATAAAGACCCAGGGTTTCTTCATCAGGTTCCTACCACCCTACACCCTAAACCCTCAACCCTAAACGTGGGTTTTCTAAGTTGAGCCCTAAAGTCTAGGACCCCCTTAAAAGTCGTGCCCCTAAAGGTCACCCTAACATGATAGCACCCTTGTGGAGACCCCAATCCTTTTTTTTCATGTCGGTAGTTCCCCAAATTAGGGTCCTTTAGTCCTTTAGGGCTCCTTAAAGAGATCGGTAAGGGTTTTCTTTATAAGGGTTTGTACAAGGGGACCAAAAGAGTTCTGTATAAGTAGCTCTCCAAATTAGGGCCCGTTTTGAAGGTCCTTTTTATATAAGGGTGCCGCACTGTGTTGGGGGCCCTAAAAAGGGACCCTACTTTCGAGAACTACCCATGTGGCTTCTCTGCAGACATTCTGCGACATGTGCTCAGCGGATCAAAGGATTGAATATCGTAGGACGCAGGTCTGCTAAGTAAGGTAGCTTTGCCTGTAGTGGGTTTAGGGCTTAGGCTTAGGTTTTTACAGTGGGGTGATTTCGTTGGCAGCCCGAACTAAGGCGCTCCCACCCCGGCTTATATCTATCCAGGAGCCTTCGAACAGGCACATCAGCAGCCCATCAGCACAAAAGGATGCCTGCCTTCACGAACCCTGCAACTGACCTAAGCCAACCCTAAACCCTAACACCGAAACCCTAAACCCTAAACCCTAAAACCTAAAACCTAAACCCTAAACCTTTAAAGGCACCCTGCAGGGAATCCCAAAACCCCAAGCCAAACCGAAACCCTGGACCCTACACCCTAATCGATAAGCCAAGCACCCTAAACTAGGCCCTAAACCCCAAAACTGGTTTAGGGTTTAGGGTTTAGGGTTTTTGCAACCCCGACCAGGTTCTGAACACGCGCAAACGAGGCCGCGAGGCTGAAGTCGCAGCTTTCCAGAGCTGATGGCTACTCCAAGCGCATTGAAAGGATCACGGGACTGAGTACCTTAACTTAAAGGAATCCTGAAAGGAACCCGAAACCCTAACCCCTTAACGGAACCCTGAACCATAACCCTTTAAAGGAACCCTAAACCAGTTGCTCCTTGTTTTTTTGTGGTTGTACGGGTTAGGGCTGTGAGTTTGGGGTTTGGGTCGACAGGGTTTAGGTTTCACAAGCCTTAAATTTTACAGCTCCTCAAAGGTTGCAGAAAGGATCCCTAGGGGGGGTTGATACTAAAAGGGGTCACGGGACTCGGCAGCTTACAGGGTTCGTTCAAGGCTTCCTTAAGAAGGGTTGTGCAAGGGATCTATAGGGCTAAAGGCTTAAAGGATCATGGGGCTTAGCAGCTAGGGTTACTTCTACAAATCCGTTAGGGGTGCTCCCTAAACCCTAAACCCTACACCCTAAACCCTAAATCCTAAGCCCTAAACCCTAAACCCTAAAGCATAAACTCTAAACCCTAAATCCTCAATCCTAAACCCTAAACCGTAAACTCTAAACCCTAAACCCTAAACCGTAAACCCTGAACCTTACTTACCAGGTCTCTTGACCCTTCAAGTAGCGTAATGTAGGAATCTACAGTAGATGGTGCACCGCGCTGCCTCCAGGAATTCCCTAGAAGTGGAGCCAACAAGCACAGAGTAGGTGGACTGCAAGTTGTTTGGCATTACATAATGTAGGGGCCTAGATAAACTACCTATATTATTTTGGGGGTTCCTTACTATACTTCTACTATAAAAGAGCCCCCCCGAACCCGATTCTCATGATTAAAGGCCCCTGCATTAGCCCGAAAGCCTGAAAGTTTCAGCTTTTTGTGCAAGTACAAAGAGCTTAGGTCGGGCCAGGCTCGGAAGATCATGGGGCTCCGGTTTAGGGTTTAGGGATGTCTAGCTGCCCGAATAGTACTCTAGTGCTGGTAAGTAGAAGGCTAGAAAAGGGGCCTTAGTAATTAGAATAGGGGTTTTGGGGCCTTATTATACTGGAAGTATTATAAGGAACCCCCCCAAAGTAGTATTGGTACTTATTTAGGCCCCGACTCTACCCGAAACTCTTGAG